TGGGGGCTATCAGAAAAAGTGGACCTATATTTATAATTTTTAGTGGAGACATTAAGTACTCAATAAGAACCCAATGCACAAAATTTCAGCGTATTCGGATAAAAACGCGCTCAAGAACCCCAAAATACCGAAAATTGGGGGGTACTGGTATATGGGAGCTATGCCTAAACGTGGACCGATATATTCCATCTTCGAACTTGACCTGCCTGTAGACAAAAGACAAACATGTGCAAAATTTCAGCACCCTATCTCAATTCCTTCGGAAGATAGCGTGATTACAACAGACGGACGGACATGGCTAGATCGTCTTAGAATTTTACCCTGACCAAGTATATATATACTTTATAGGGTCGGAAATGAATATTTCGATGAGTTACTACCGGAATGACAAAATTACCCTCCATACTATGGCGGAGGGTATAAAAATAAATAAATAAAAAATGCGCACCTTGGATAGACTCTGAAAAAATATTCATTAAAAAATCCACGCCTTTGTTAGACCCTGAAAAAATATTCATTAAAAAATCCATTTCTTTGTTAGACCCTGAAAAAATATTCATTAAAAAATCCACGCCTTTATTAGACCCTGAAAAAATATTCTTTAAAAAATCCACGCCTTTGCTAGACCCTAAAAAAATATTCATTAAAAAATCCATGCCTTTGTTAGACCATGAAAAAAAAATTCTTAAAAAAATCCACGCCTTTGTTAGACCCTGAAAAAATATTCATTAAAAAATCCACGCCTTTGTTAGACCCTGAAAAAATATTCTCTAAAAAATCCACGCCTTTGTTAGACCCTGAAAAAATATTCTTTAAAAAATCCATGCCTTTGTTAGACCATGAAAAAAAAAAATTCTTAAAAAAAATCCACGCCTTGGCTAGGCTCTGAAAAAATATTTTTTAAAAAATCCACGCCTTGACCTTGAAAAATATTCTTTAAAAATCCACGACTTGGCTGATAGACCCTGAAAAATATTCTTAAATAATTTACCCCTTAAAAATATTAAAAAATCCCCACTTTGATTCCAAATTTTTATTTGAACCCATAAAATATGCCACGCTTTTCGTGACACCTTTGAATACCTGTTTTGCGAATTATTTTGCCACAGCCATTGGAATAGGTTGGAGCACAAAATTCTGTGTGGTTGTGTGTTATCCACATCGACCATATGTTAACGCCATCAGTCTGATGGGGCTAAAAGAATTCGCTCTCTCTCTCTCTTGCTGACTCATGTACATCGACTATAAGTTATGATGTGGTGCGCTTATCACTCAACTAAATGACGACAACAACGACGAAGAAGATGATGAAGAAGAACAACAAAACAATAAATAAATACACGCATATTTCATTACGATAGTAGTGTTATAATGAGAGTCGGCTGCAACTCTCAATGTGGGGATATAGCTCAGTGGTAGAGCATTCGACTGCAGATCGAGAGGTCCCCGGTTCAAACCCGGGTGTCCCCTTAAGAGTTTTTTTGATTAATTTTTCTTTAAGAATTTTTTTCAGGGATCCAATCAAACAAGGCGTGGATTTTTTAATGAATATTTTTTCAGGGATCCAATCAAACAAGGCGTGGATTTTTTAAAGATTAATTTTTCAGGGATCCAACCAAACAAGGCGTGGATTTTTTAAAGATTAATTTTTCAGGGATCCAACCAAACAAGGCGTGGATTTTTTAAAGATTAATTTTTCAGGGATCCAACCAAACAAGGCGTGGATTTTTTAAAGATTAATTTTTCAGGGATCCAACCAAACAAGGCGTGGATTTTTTAAAGATTAATTTTTCAGGGATCCAACCAAACAAGGCGTGGATTTTTTAAAGATTAATTTTTCAGGGATCCAACCAAACAAGGCGTGGATTTTTTAAAGATTAATTTTTCAGGGATCCAACCAAACAAGGAGTGGATTTTTTAAAGATTAATTTTTCAGGGATCCAACCAAACAAGGCGTGGATTTTTTAAAGATTAATTTTTCAGGGATCCAACCAAACAAGGCGTGGATTTTTTAAAGATTAATTTTTCAGGGATCCAACCAAACAAGGCGTGGATTTTTTAAAGATTAATTTTTCAGGGATCCAACCAAACAAGGCGTGGATTTTTTAAAGATTAATTTTTCAGGGATCCAACCAAACAAGGCGTGGATTTTTTAAAGATTAATTTTTCAGGGATCCAACCAAACAAGGCGTGGATTTTTTAAAGATTAATTTTTCAGGGATCCAACCAAACAAGGCGTGGATTTTTTAAAGATTAATTTTTCAGGGATCCAACCAAACAAGGCGTGGATTTTTTAAAGATTAATTTTTCAGGGATCCAACCAAACAAGGCGTGGATTTTTTAAAGATTAATTTTTCAGGGATCCAACCAAACAAGGCGTGGATTTTTTAAAGATTAATTTTTCAGGGATCCAACCAAACAAGGCGTGGATTTTTTAAAGATTAATTTTTCAGGGATCCAACCAAACAAGGCGTGGATTTTTTAAAGATTAATTTTTCAGGGATCCAACCAAACAAGGCGTGGATTTTTTAAAGATTAATTTTTCAGGGATCCAACCAAACAAGGCGTGGATTTTTTAAAGATTAATTTTTCAGGGATCCAACCAAACAAGGCGTGGATTTTTTAAAGATTAATTTTTCAGGGATCCAACCAAACAAGGCGTGGATTTTTTAAAGATTAATTTTTCAGGGATCCAACCAAACAAGGCGTGGATTTTTTAAAGATTAATTTTTCAGGGATCCAACCAAACAAGGCGTGGATTTTTTAAAGATTAGTTTTTCAGGGATCCAACCAAACAAGGCGTGGATTTTTTAAAGATTAATTTTTCAGGGATCCAACCAAACAAGGCGTGGATTTTTTAAAGATTAATTTTTCAGGGATCCAACCAAACAAGGCGTGGATTTTTTAAAGATTAATTTTTCAGGGATCCAACCAAACAAGGCGTGGATTTTTTAAAGATTAATTTTTCAGGGATCCAACCAAACAAGGCGTGGATTTTTTAAAGATTAATTTTTCAGGGATCCAACCAAACAAGCCGTGGATTTTTTAAAGATTAATTTTTCAGGGATCCAACCAAACAAGGCGTGGATTTTTTAAAGATTAATTTTTCAGGGATCCAACCAAACAAGGCGTGGATTTTTTAAAGATTAATTTTTCAGGGATCCAACCAAACAAGGCGTGGATTTTTTAAAGATTAATTTTTCAGGGATCCAACCAAACAAGGCGTGGATTTTTTAAAGATTAATTTTTCAGGGATCCAACCAAACAGTGGATTTTTTAAAGATTAATTTTTCAGGGATCCAACCAAACAAGGCGTGGATTTTTTAAAGATTAATTTTTCAGGGATCCAACCAAACAAGGCGTGGATTTTTTAAAGATTAATTTTTCAGGGATCCAACCAAACAAGGCGTGGATTTTTTAAAGATTAATTTTTCAGGGATCCAACCAAACAAGTCGTGGATTTTTTAAAGATTAATTTTTCAGGGATCCAACCAAACAAGGCGTGGATTTTTTAAAGATTAATTTTTCAGGGATCCAACCAAACAAGGCGTGGATTTTTTAAAGATTAATTTTTCAGGGATCCAACCAAACAAGGCGTGGATTTTTTAAACATTAATTTTTCAGGGATCCAACCAAACAAGGCGTGGATTTTTTAAAGATTAATTTTTCAGGGATCCAACCAAACAAGGCGTGGATTTTTTAAAGATTAACTTTTCAGGGATCCAACCAAACAAGGCGTGGATTTTTTAAAGATTAATTTTTCAGGGATCCAACCAAACAAGGCGTGGATTTTTTAAAGATTAATTTTTCAGGGATCCAACCAAACAAGGCGTGGATTTTTTAAAGATTAACTTGTTCATGAACCAAACAAGGCTTGGATTTTTTAAAGATTAATTTTTCAGGGATCCAAATTTTACAAATTTTTAATGTTTTAATAAAACTAAATTTTAAATATTTTTTTGTTTTTATTTATTATTTTTATTTTCTTATTATTAATAACTACAATTAATTACTTTTTTATGGATTATCTTCAAATGAGATTATGACGTATTTTGTTTTTCTCTCTGTGTTTAAATTTTTTTCTATTTTGCTGATTTATTTTTGTGGTTTTAAATCGAATACTTATGGTACAACTATATAAAAGTAAGTTAATAAAAATTCTTATATGTATAAAAAATATGTTTATATAACAAAATTCATACATATCTATGTACGAGTCTGTTTTAATAATATCTAATTATTTTTAAAAATATATATATATATGTACTGTATGTATATAATTCGAATGTGTTGTTGCTATCGTTGTTCTTGTTTAATGCTGGGGTTCTTTTGGTGTGCGTTCGTTGCGTTATTGGCCTCCAAGGTGTTTCCAGATGCAGTGGGGTGGTGGAGGATATATGGATATGCCAAAACTTCAACACCGATTTACACAATATCTGTTGTAGTTAATTTTTTCATTATTTGAAATTGAAAATTATTTTCTAGGTGGATTTAGGTACCATTGCCATAATTTAATATTTTTTATTCAGCCCTATTATAATCAATCCGAATGAAATATTTTCTAGAAAATTAAAAAAAGTTATGCCAAAAAAACAGAATATTTGTTAATATTTTCTCTAGTGAAAAAATATTTAATATTTTTTTTTGAACTCCCTTGTAAGTTTTTGTTTTATTTACAGGGGATTAATGCCAAAGAAAACAAGTTTTGCTAAAAACAATTTTGAAAGAAAAATCGTTTAGAAAATTTTGAAACAATTTCCAGAAAATAATTTCATATCAGATTTTTTTTTAATTCAAATAGGGCTGTAATGTACTAATGGCTAACTAAATGCTAAGGCCTGAAGATATCACTAAATGGGAATAGTGTAATTTTTTACATGGGTTTCTAGGCTAACAATTTGGAAAACAAAATTGGATAACAATTACAATATAACGAACAATTTTGAATACAAATTTTCTTCACTTCCATGATTTTGTTATCTTACAACGTGTTCCAATATTTATTGTCTCTGCAATAACACAGCTATGAGAGCTAGAATCAACGCCGATATTGAAACGCTGAGGGCTGTACTGCCATTGCAACGTGAGTTGGAGCAAGGATAACATTTATTCAACTGCTGTTTGGGATGTTCTTCACGATATTGACCGCAAACCGATTCCATGGTTTTGACACGAGAGCAGCCACGATTTGTCACCATTGTACCGTTAACTGAAATGAAAATAATTAAAAAAATATATTATTTAGAAATTGGATTTTTGAAGAATATTTTTTCAGGGTCTAACCAAGGCTGGGATTTTTTAAAGAATATTTTTTGGGGAACCTAAACAAGGCGTGGATTTTTTAAAGAATATTTTTCAAGGCGTCGATTTTATAATGAATACTTTTTCAGGGATCTATACAAAGCGTGATTTTTTTAAAGAATATTTTTTCAGGGGCTCAAACCAAGGCGTGGATTTTTTAAAGAATATTTTTTCAGGGACTCAACCAAACAAGGCGTGGATTTTTTTAAGAATATTTTTTTCATGGACTCAACCAAACAAGGCCTGGATTTTTTTAAGAATATTTTTTCAGGGACTCAACCAAACAAGGCGTGGATTTTTTAAAGAATATTTTTTCAGGGACTCGACCAAACAAGGCTTGGATTTTTTAAAGAATATTTTTTCAGGGGCTCAAAGGCGTGGCTTTTTTAAAGAATATTTTTTCAGTGGCTCAAACCAAGGTGTGGATTTTTTAAAGAATATTTTTTCAGGGGCTCAAACCAAGGCGTGGATTTTTTAAAGAATATTTTTTCAGGGGCTCAAACCAAGGCGTGGATTTTTTAAAGAATATTTTTTCAGTGGCTCAAACCAAGGTGTGGATTTTTTAAAGAATATTTTTTCAGGGACTCAACCAAACAAGGCGTGGATTTTTTAAAGAATATTTTTTCAGGGACTCAACCAAACAAGGCGTGGATTTTTTAAAGAATATTTTTTCAGGGACTCAACCAAACAAGGCGTGGATTTTTTAAAGAATATTTTTTCTGGGACCATAGCCAAGGCGTGGATTTTTTAAAGAATATTTTTTCTGGGACCATAGCCAAGGCGTGGATTTTTTAAAGAATATTTTTTCAGGGGCTCAAACCAAGGCGTAGATTTTTTAAAGAATATTTTTTCTGGGACCATAGCCAGGGCGTGAATTTTTTTAAGGATATTTTTTTCTGGGACCATAGCCAAGGCGTGAATTTTTTAAAGAATATTTTTTCAGGGGCTCAAACCAAGGCGTGGATTTTTTAAAGAAGAGGATTTTTTAAGAATACTTTTCAGGGACCTATGCTTATAGAGGATTTTTTTTTTAAAAATACTTTTCAGGGACCTATACTTATCCAGGATTTTTTAAGAATACTTTTCAGGGACCTATACTTATCGAAGATTTTTTTTTGAGAATACTTTTCAGGGACCTATGCTTATCGAGGATTTGTTAAGAATACTTTTCAGAGACCTATGCTTATCGAGGATATTTTTTTTGAGAGTACTTTTCAGGGACCTATGCTTATCGAGGATTTTTTAAGAATACTTTTCAGGGACCTATGGTTATCGAGGATTTTTTTAAGAATTTTATTGAAAATAGAGGATATATCGATGGTTTTCCATCAATAGAGAACCTCTTGAGTATTTCTAATTTTGGTATGTATTATTCTAAAAAAAAAAAAACATTCGCCTATTACTCACCATCAGCTAACACCTTATAACAATGATAGGTGTACTCATTAACGTTACGCAATTGACGATGTCTGAAGGCAGCCGATGTGACATAATTTTTATTTGTCAATTTTTCCTGTAGGCTATCTGCGGCTGCGCCGGTATCATTTTGTGTGTTACTTGAATTCTGGACATCGACAATGGGTCGAATGGTACCGGTATTGGGTGGTGTTGGCACCGAGGTGGCTGGGAAGTAGGTTGTGGGTGTTGGTGGTTTGGCCTCTGTAGGTGTGGGTTCTTCTGTTGTCGTGGTTACTGTTGTTGTTGTTGTAGGAGGTTCAGTTGTTGTTGTTGTAGTGGTGGTGGTGGTAGAGGTTGTTGTTGTTGTTGTGGTAGGTTCTTCTGTGGTTGTAATTTCTGTTGTTGTAGAAGTGGTTGAGGGTTCCGTAGTTGTTGTAGTGGTTGGTGTTGGTGTCATTGGTTCTGTTGTGGGCATGGTTGTTTCTTCTGTGGTGGGAGAATCGGTGGTAATGGCAGGAGTACTCTCTGTGGTAATTGTTGACGGTGGTAGTGTACTGCCTATGGTTGTAGGTTCCGTTGTACTTGTGTCTGGTGGCCCCGCTGCAAAATATTCTTCATCACAGGTCACAACTGGTATTTCTACCATTGTCGGGTCGGGACAATTTTCACAGACATAACATTGTAATTGTGCGTGGCCAACTGAAAGGAGAGAGAGAGATAGGTTATAGTTAGGGTTTGGTAAAATTTAAAAAGAATTTTGGGTGGCGTGAACTAAAAAAATTGAAGGGCCAAGACGGCGAGGATTTTTAAAATAGAATTTTATGGAGGGCCAACAAGGTCCGTAGATTTTTTAAAGAATAGGTTTCCAATAGTTTTCAACAAAACGTGGATTTTTTAAAGAATATTTTTTACAATGGCCAACAAGGCGTGGATTTTTAAAAACTATTTTAATGAAGGCGTACATTTTTAAAAACTATTTTTATGAAGGCGTGGATTTTAAAAAATATGTTTATGAAGTCGTGGATTTTTGAAAATATTTTTATGACGGCATGGATTTTTAAAAAATATTTTTATGAAAACGTGCATTTTTAAAAAAATATTTTTATGAGGCGTGGATTCTTAAAAAATATTTTTATAAATGTGAGGATTTAAGAACAATTTTTTACGAACGCGAGGATTTTTAAAATATATTTATATGAAAAAAATATTTATATATTTATATGAAGGCGTGGATTTAAAAAATATATATTTTTATGAAGGCGTGGATTTTTAAAAAATATTTTTATGAAAGCGTGTATTTTAAAAAAAATATTTTTATGAAAGCGTTGATTTAAAAAAAAATATTTTTATGAAGGCGTGGATTTTTAAAAAAAATATTTTTATGAAGGCGTGGATTTTTAAAAAAAATATTTTTATGAAGGCGTGGATTTTTAAAAAATATTTTTATGAATGCGTGGATTTTTAAAAAATATTTTTATGAATGCGTGGATTTTTAAAAAAATATTTTTATGAATGCGTGGATTTTTAAAAAATATTTTTATGAATGCGTGGATTTTTAAAAAATATTTTTTTGAATGCGTGGATTTTTAAAAAATATTTTTTTGAATGCGTGGATTTTTAAAAAAATATTTTTATATAGATTTTTAAAAATATATTTTTTTGAATGCGTGGATTTTTAAAAAATATTTTTTTGAATGCGTGGATATAAAAAAAAATATTTTTATGAACGTGAGGATTTTAAAAAATAGAAGCCGTGGATTTTTAAAAAAATATTTGTTGAGGTCCATTTGAGCCTTAGGCGTGGATTTTTATAGAATTTTTTTTCCAACGCCCATCAGAGCTCTAGGCATGGATTTTTAAAAAAATATTTTTATGAAGGCATGGATTTTTAAAAAAATATTTTTATGAACGTGAGGATTTTAAAAAATAGAAGGCGTGGATTTTTAAAAAAATATTTTTATGAAGGCATGGATTTTTAAAAAAATATTTTTATGAAGGCGTGAATTTTTCGAAAAAATATTTTTAAGAAGGCGTGGATTTAAAAAAAAATATTTTTATGAAGGCGTGGATGTTTTTTTTTTTTTTTAAATTAAAGATTAAAAAAATATTTTTGGGAAATGCCAAAGACGTAGGTTTTGTAAATAATTTTTTCCAATGACCAACAAGGCGTAGGTTTTGTAAATAAATTTCCCCCTTCACTATTACTAATCTGATTTTAAAGCATACTTTTAGGCATTTGTATTCTTTACATATCATCTTTTCAAATCATTAGTTATCGCGAAGTACTGCTGATATGGAAGCCACGTGAATTTCGAAAATTTTCAATATCTTAATTGAACAGTACTAACAACATACATACAAACCAGGTCTGTAAGTATATACATTTTTATATTTTTTGTTGCAAATCATCTTCATTTTTTTTGCACGTTAAATTCTCATTTGAATCTTGTGTTTTGTATTAACGTTTTTTTAATTATTAACTGTCAAGTGGATTAACAATAATAAAAAAATTACAAAAATAATTTATTGTACTTTATGTAAATTACTGTTAACGATACATACATAACATTTGTGGAAATTCCCTGATATAAATGTAAATTTTACAAGGGGATAAATCGTTAATCGATATGGGGGATTTAAATAAGTAATTAACCTTGTCAGAGGTCTTCAAGAGGATGGATGGAAGTTAAGGGGGATTTTTATAAGTATACTTATATAATATTAGAACTTTCAAAAGAAAAAATAGAAGGATCTATAAACCGTCTTCTACCACTAGTGAACTTAGTGTTTTTCTGTTCACAGAGGACCTTTTGAGGGTGTTCTGTATTGGAGTACCCCTTCTGAAACCTCTGATGTATAGAATTACTATTTTAGCGTCTTCAATTTGTAGTGGACCTTTCTATGGTCTTTTATCAATAGAGAACCTATAAATGTTCTTCAATATATAGACGACATATCAGGGATGTTATATTTTATCGAGTGTCTGTTAATTTTTTTTAGAAATTGTCTTCTACCTGTAAAATTTTTTATAGATCTGCTATTCCAAAAATTGCCACCATTATCTATAAAAGAATTCTTAAAATATCTTTAATGAAATATAAGGTCTCATATTTATAGAATTAAATAATTTATTAATTATATAAACGACTTTTTGAAAGGTATTCTATCTATGGAAGGCTTATTGCAAGGATGTCCACTTATATTTAATTCCTCTCTTGCATGACCTGCTATGTATAGAAAATCTCTTGTAAAACTCTTCGGACTGTAGAAGGTCACTTGCATTGTTTTCTATCCATAAAATACATCTTGTAACGGTTTACTCTCTCTAGAAGACAATTTTCAAGGTATTCTGCCTAGGGCAAATCTGTTCAAAGGTGTTGATCTAGAGAAGAGCTCGTTAAGACCACCACTTTATGGAAGACTTCTTTTATTGGGCTATATACTGGCGGCCAAAACTAAAGCAACTAAAATTGGAAACTGAATAAATGTACTGTATCTTTTTTGAAAATAAACTTATAGCGAACCGTTTTTCAGAAATAAATAGATAATTTATGCACTTTTAAAAAACAAAAAATATAAACACAAAATTTATTTTAAAATAAAAATATTCTAAGGCAAACAAATAAACAGCAAACCTACGATGAATTGAATCTATTAAAACGCTCTATTTGATCCATGGATATACTATTCCTCGCATCCTTAACCTTTGGGAAGAGGTTATGTTTGTCTGTTTGTGCTGTTGTATGGATCTGAAGCATGGGCACTTGCGCTAGCAGTACAACATCTCGAAAAATTATCATTCAAATTGCTCGGCTTATGGAACAACCGTTCTGACATAAGTCAGCTATGTAAGTAAGTAGTTTTGGCCACCAGTGTATATAGGAACCTGTTGAGGGTCTTAAAATTATAATGGACTTTTTATTTTTAGAAGAAGGATCTTCAATTTATAGAATTTTTGTAAAATTTTATTTTGCTCTGTCATTCTAAAATGCCTTTCATCTAAAGAAGACCTCTTGCTACAGAATACCAATTGACGAGATCCATTATAAAGATTTCTATTAATAGAAACTCTTTATATGGGGCTATACTCAAAGATCGGCTGATTATTTTTGGTAGGAAGAAGCGGGATATCACTATATGACCGATATAATAAAGTGGCATCCGATATTGTGAAGGATATAACAAACTGATATTGTTTATTTGGAATTTATAAATATTTTAAAAACATCTCTTTCAACCACTCTGAAAACCGATTTGGAACTGCCTAAAATAAAGCGGATCACATCTCTATATTCAATGTTCCTTTATTCAGTTGAAAAATGCGTCTGGGCCCTTACGATTTGTAAAATATATAGGCTATTTCAAAACCAGGATCTGCTTAAAATCTGTAAAATGCTTAAAAAAACAGTGAGCGGATCAGTATAGTCGGGCGGGGCCGACCATACGATACCTTACACAACTACCGCGGAAATATAACTTTCTGCGGATGTTCATTCCGAGCCTGGGTAATATTTCGTGATAGTTGCACCCTCTTTCCTGATTAGAGGTCAACAGCACCACTTCCTTACACTGATATATTTTCCGAATATTGTAATTTGTAATTTTTCACACAAAAGTCAGGTTTCATTTGACCCGCTAAATACTGACTAATCTTTATCAAAACAGGCATACTTGTTCTTTGGCCCAGTCCCCTTCTCCATGTGAAACTTCGAGGTGTTTGGGCCATAATTGCGGCCTCAGGAGCGACCAGAAAAACCGACCAACCCTTCCAAACCCTTCCTACATGCAAAATTTTGAGAAGATGGGTCCATAACTGTGGCCTGTATCGTATTTACAAATTATAATGGACGGACACACATGTCTAGATCGACTCAGTCGAGATATGACGATCGGTATACTTAAAGGACCAATATTTCTAGGACCAATATTTCGCAGCGTTATAGCACAAAGCTATAATACCCTGACAAGATAGTCGTGTAGGGTATACAAATAAATAAATGAAATAAAATAGGGCGCGTACTTGAAATACAAGCCATGGCCAAACATCTACTTAGAAAATATTTTACCCTCTAGGAATTCGGACCTCTTTTGAACATTTTTAAACATAAAAGTTGAAGTTCCCAGCTGCAACTCGGAATTCCATCATTTCGGATGGAAAATGCTTCAGGGACCTTAAAATTTGGATATAAGGAGAGGCTTGTATATGCAGACGAGGACCTATATTGATCACTTCCTTCGAGATATAAGGCGATAAATTTACAATTCATGATAAAGGGCTGAATATGAACAATTAGAGATGAGAATATGGCTACAAAGCCATATAACGTTATTCTGATCAACAATATAATAATATGTATTTCAAGGGGTTTCCCTAGAATATTTCGAGGCGTTGCACGTTATTGGAGAAAAGGTGGAACCCCATTTGATAATTCTGCGTATTTGGAGTGTACACTTCTTATTTTTCAAGGTATGTCCATTTTGTTTTACTTTTTGAAATTATGGTATCAAAATTAAGCAATTTCGAACATCACCCTCTTTATACTTTGAAAAAAAAGTCAAAAACCATGCAGTCTGGTGTAAACCATAAATTTTATTAGACCTTTAATTGTTCAACAATATATGTATGTGAAATAGTTGGTTTTATTT